TCTACTGTATACACATCACCAAGCTCATGCAAATATGTAGATATGACATGAAGAAATAGACAAGAATGTGGGATTACCCAGCCCAAGCCCGTCTCTTCCTCTCTCCCACTATCTAGTTACCATTCTGGGAGATGGGTTACAAAGGCTCACAGACAAAGACCTTTTACCCCATCTGGATGGACCAGAAGACTCAGGGCACAGTCACTCGTTGACACACAGCCTTGGTCACTGTGCTTGCAGAAAAGTGCTCCTGGCTTCATAGAAAATGAAATGGGCCGGGCGGTGGCGGCGCACGCCTTTAATCCCAGCACTTGGGAGGCAGAGGCAGGCAGATTTCTGAGTTCGAGAGTTTGAGGCTAGCCTAGTCTACAGAGTGAGTTCCAGGACAGCTAGGGCTACACAGAGAAACCCTGTCTCGAAAAACCAAACCAAAAAAAAAAAAAAGAAAGAAAATGAAATGGGACATGCAGGCCATCCTGGGGCAGTCCCGTCTTGAGTCCCCTTTGCTGTAGTTTGAGCACTAAGGACATCCACTTTGCGGCCTTTGGCTTACAGTAATGCAGAGGGAGACTCACAAGGAACCCAGGCGGAAAGCTGGGTGCATGCCTGTTCAGAGTGTGAGCTTTAATTTCAGGATTCAAATTCCTGCATTTTCATCTACTGCATTCCTTAGAAACCCCATGGGGAAAGCTATGAGCCAGTCACATAATGCCCTGAAAGGTTATTTCCTGAGTTTCAGTCTTGAGGGGAAAATGTGTGTGTGTGTGTGTGTGTGTGTGTGTGTGTGTGTAAGAGAGAGAGAATGGCAACAACCAAAGCTGCAGTGTAGCTGCCCATTGCCACAGCAGGTTTATCCTGAGTATTTGAGCAAGGCTAGACCCTTCTAGCCTGCTCAACCTGGAATAGGCCATACCTCTTTCATATATACCAAGAGATCTATAAATAAAATTTCAAAGGCACCTGGAGAACAAATACTATGAACTTGATATAAACCTATATATGTCGACATATAAAGTTATGTGTAAAAATTACATACATACCCCCCCAGGATCTCAGCCTAAACGGCACAGCAGAGGCAAGTTAAAGCCCACTGAGGTAGGGTAGGCGACCGATTCCTCAGGGTCGCCTCATCTGTCGTCACTAGATACCGTCAACAAGAAGCCCCAGAGTAGCACCTAGCACTGTGGGTAGAGGTGCTAGGCACGTTCTGCTGGCCCAGCTTTGGCTCTCTGCTGGGCTGCCATTGGCCCTAGACTCCAAAGATTGACCTCCTGGAGCCACAGCCCCCTCCCCACCAACACATGCAGAGCATTCTGCCCGCAGAAAGGCCATCCGTAGCCTGCAAGAACAAACTAAACTCCCTCACCCTGCAGCCGGACAGCACCTGGCCTTCTGCACGGGCCACGGGGAGAGAGCAGAGGCAGGTTTGGAAAAGGTTTATTGCATTGTTTCCATGTGGAAGCACTGACAGTTGGAAAGAGGCAGAAAGTCCCACGACTTCTGAAAAACCACAGGGCTACATGAACTTCCCTCCTACCCACAACTGGAGGGAAAAACCTTATCCCCACCCCCACCCCAAGCAAAAGCTAAAAAGGGAGTTTTGTGGTGATTGTTTTGAAACCCACTGGTGCGGGGACTTCCTGGTGCTCAGGCTCCACTCGGCTGTAGACTCTTGGCACCTCCTACATCCCCTGGTCCTTCCCCAGCTCCTGACCAGCTCTTCCCTGTGCGGCTGTGCTTAGCAGTACCTACTGATGGGAAAGCTCGTCTGTGTGGCAGGCTGAGAAGCAGGTGAGTAGGGGCTACCTGGCAACTCTAAGAATGTTACCTAACATCTACAACCACTTCCCAGGCTAGACACACGTAAGACACAGGTCTGTGCACATCTGGAGGACTTTAAACTCCAGAAAGTATATGCCTATGACATGGTTAAAAATGAGATGATCCTGACAGGTGGCATGTCTGTTTCCCTCAGAATGACTGAAATCTTGCTGGGAAAGGGCGGGAACTGGGGTAGGAAGTAATTGTAGCTTGCCTGAAATTGTTTTTCCTCTTGTGATTGTATAAGGCATTTTGAACTGGGAAACAATTTTTCATACTCTTCCCAAAAGTCAGAGTGACATAATTGCTGATTCAGAATACAAAGGCCCCTTTACCTCTCCCACCTCCCCAAAATCATTCTGTACACCTATGCCCATGAGGTACAAGGCTGACAATCGATTTCTGAGACTGAGGCAAACTGTCCACTTGGGCAGGAGGCCACTGCACCAAGGACCCTTATGGCGGTTTCAGCCCACTCTCTCCATCCTTAAACCTCAAGGGGTTAGCATCATCTTCAATGAGGTTCTGAGTTCTGCTGGTGGGCGCCAGTGCTGCCCTGTGCGCAGGAGGAGGTCAGGGCCCTCTTGGCTTTCCTACTGGCCCAGTTCATCCACATACAGCATCAGGAGGGGGCATTCTATTAGTAGAAGGGGCAGGGCCTGGGCAGCACCCGCGACGTTAGTCATGCTGACAGACAGCAGAGAGGAAACAGAGGCCAGAGAAGTGATTTTAGGAAAAAGAGCAGCTTCAGTCATCAAAAAATTGAAAGGATGATTTTTTTTAAAAAATAAAACATGAGGACTTTTTTTTTTTCTCTGCAATGCTCAGCCATTTTTCTGAAGACATAAAAAAGTTTTAAGAGTTTTGGCCTAAACATTCACGAGAGCAGATGGGAGGTGCCATGAGGTGCTCTGAGTGGCAATGCTGGTCAGGGTCCTTCAGACCACATACTGGTACGGGTCTGCCTTCCCTTGGTCTGGTGTGGCAAAGGGGCTGGCCCAGCCTAGAGAGAAAGGGTGGCCAAAAACGGCTTTCATGTTCATCCACTTTGTTTTTTTAGCCCATCTTCTCTCTTCCTTTTTCAATTGTTCTATTCCCTGAAAACAAGAACAATCACACTTTCAGTCAGGCATTCCACCTCTGCAGTTCTGGGAAGGATGTTCACATGCCTCAGGTGACTAGAGCGAACACTTCCCTTCCAAAGCAGTAAAGCTACCTACAGCTTTCTTCTGTCGCTCCTAAGAAGTGTCACTAAAAGTGGTTTCTGGTGGGCATGCATTTACAAGGCCCTGAGGAGGAAGGGACAGTGAGCTCTCAGCAGGCACCTGGGCCACTGTTGCCAACAAGACTGACACTGTCTAGTTCTGTGTCCTTGCTGGGTCAGGAAGTGCTCCGAGGCACCTGTGTATGCAAAGGCTTTGATGCATGAGATCGAAATTCTTACAGCTAATGGTGGCTGTTGCTGTGGTAAAGACGCATAGGAGAGCTGACGAGACAATGACCACTTTGCAGACAAAAAAAAAAAAAAAGAAAGAAAGAAAGAAAGAAAGAAAGAAAAAAAGAAAGAAAAAAAAGAAGAAGAAAACCAAAAAACCAAAACCAAATAAACAAAAAAATCCAACAACAACTCTTCCCCCACCCCACCTCCCAAAAACCCAACAACAAAAAACCAAGCAGCAGGTGAAGTGACTGCTCTGATACTGTCTCACCAGCCCAGAGGGTCAAGGAGCAGCTGCTGGGCAGGCTGAGGAGACACAAAGGGAAAGGCGAGACAGTGAGAGGCAGTTGATAAGGAGATGAATCACAAGAGGAAGAGCGGATTAGTGCAGTTAGAGGGAGGGCAGCTTGCAGCCTCAGCCACGGGGAGGAGGTGGGGAGGGTCTTCCCAGAGGAGCTTGGAGGACAAGGCAGTTCTCCCAGCTTGTGCCACTTGCCCTGTCAACTCTCAGGAAAAACAAAAACAAAAATAAAAGTGGGTCTAGGAAGAATGTATATTCTCTTTCCTCCAAATAGAGTGGCTGAGCTGCCAGAGAAGCAGAGAGCAGGGGCTGTCTCTCTGTCCTAAGTCTTGGCCAAGGATGGGGTGGGGGCAACCCATGCTGTTCTCGAAGCCCATGCTGCTCTCACAGCCTAGGGACCCAGGAGGGCGTCAGTTAAGGATGATGATGCTCCCCATGAGTCACAGGCAACACAATTCTGTTTAGGAACAATTTTGATAAGGAAAAACAGCTAGAATCGGACCGTCAGTTTATCTACTGCCCCCAGAACATGCTCTGGGGGACCTAGAAGTGCTTCCCAAATGGGCAGGGCCTGACAGTCACAGCTGGGTTTCCTATAGGTCTTCTGTGGAGCAGCTGGTCATATTTATCAATTTGATATAAAGCTGAATATACACCAAACCTTATGCAATGACAGGAATTCTTATAAATGAAACGGAGTGGCTAAAAGCCATGGAAAGCACTGAGGACCACTCAGAACTCCCAGTGGTACTCTGGCAGTGGGCAGCATTGCCCCCTCTGCTTCCAGGCCCACAGAGCCAGATCACCTGAAGCCATAGAAGAAGCTGCCCTTCGTCTAAGAGCACAGACCACAGCTGAAAGCTCTCTCTTGGAAGGTGGGTGAGCAGAACTCATAAAGCCAGGAGCAAGCAAGAGGCTGAATCCGGGTCCCCAAGATTCTTTTTCATATTCAGGGCAAAGTGCTGCCCACCCCATCTTCTAGAGCCCAAAGTACAAAAGTCAAGAAATGTCACACAACAACCACTTCCAGACTCCTGGGTATCTTTGGAAGGCCAGAAATCGGCTGTAGGACATGAGGTGAGTGGGCAGGAAGACAAGAGAGCGGGATGGACAAGGACCAGAGTGTGCTGTCCTGGAGGCTCAAAGCAGATGCCTCCTGGATCCAGCCAGGACATCAGTTCTAGAAGCCGACGTCTAGAAGCCTTGCTGGAAAGGACAAGAGCCTGACAGAATGCCTGACAGGGTTCACTGTATAATAAAGAGGGACTTGTGTTGGCTAAGGCTGCAGGCAGGGCCACTCTCATGCAACCAGCCGAACCTACATAAACATGACCAGGACACTAGAACAGAAGGCACTGTGCCCTGCATCCTGAGCCCTCAGGGCTGACAGGCGACTGGGTCCCCAAAGCCAAGGTTAGAGGAGGTGGGTGTCCAGCTTACCGTCTCATCTGTGCAGATGGAGTGCACTTGGGTCCCAAACATCACTGATGTGAAAATGAGGAAGAGGAGGGCCTCAAAGCACAGCAGGATGAGCAGGATGACAGTGGTGGGCGGCGAGAAGGAGCTGCACTCTGCAAAGAAAGCAGCATGGGGACTGTACTGGCTGCATGGCTCCCTGCCTCACCCCACCAGGTTCCCACCTGCCACCTGCTCACTCCCTCCAGAAGTCCCCAACAGATTGGGCTGTTGGAGTCCTCTTCCCTAACTAGTGTACGCCAGCTCATCACCCCCAGGCCAGAGGCCAGCTTACAAGAAGTCTATTAGGCCTCATGACACCTCAGAACACCTGCCTGTCCCTAGAGAACACAGAATGCAGGTTCAGAAGTCCTGGCCTGGCTAGATCTTTCCTGGAGAGGTATTCCCCCACCCCAAAACTGCCCCTAGCTCAGCCACCCCATGGTTCCTTTGGGTCCCAGGTGAGAGACTAGGGTAGGTCAGGAGGAGTGCATGGTAGTTTGGGAACTTGAAAGAGGACTATTTGCCAAGGAGTGGTCTGGATAGCGACTGGAAATGCCCCTCCTTGCCAGGGACGTCTACGTAAGTGAGACTGTCAGTCTCTCACTGGGGCTCTCATGTTCTGTTCATGGTTGGGCTGGCTCTAGGCATTCGCTCACCCTTCACTGTAAGGCAGTGATATGGTTTCTGAGCAGTGAACAAAGCCTAACTCAAACACACAGCACTCAAAGGCTCCGAGGGAGACAGTGTTTGAACAGGGAAGGAAAACTGGGCCACACATGTGACATGCTTTGCCTAGCATCAGCTCTGGTGATGTGGTGCAGGTCGCTCAGTTTGGCTTGTAGGGGTCTGTCTGCTTCCTCTGCTGGGGATGCTGCATGGATCTTGACTATCTAGGGAGGGGGATGTGGGAAAGACTAGGAATGAAACCAATCACGGTGTGTGTGTTAGGGAGGCTGGCTGGAGCATCTCATCTGACATGCCTTCTTCTTAGCTGCTTCCCTGGAACTGCGCAGAACTTGGTCTTAGCAGCACACCAACCAGAGGAGCTGGCTGTGGAGGGTTCCAGGCGAGGTTACCTGGCTGGCCTTGTAGTGAAGGGCGCTGGGAAGAAGCAGGGCTCTAAGTCTGACAGACATGAGGACGGGGAGGAGCCTGACCACAGGCTTCGTTATCACCGCCCGAACATTCAGCCCTCGCCTGCCTTTCCCACCCCTCCCAAGTGGAATTGGGGTTATTAACTTTGTCTTTCCTTACCTGACACCTGTCTCTCCCACTAAACCTACTTTAGGTTCCAGGCAGCCATTCAACCAATCCTGGAATGAGGTCTGACTGCAGATCTCTGGGCAAGAGGCTTGGGCATCCTGACACTAACTTTCCCTTCAGTACAGGGATATGGAGAAGTGATAATAGAACATCTCTCTATATATACCTCACGTCAGCTGTGTGTTGTGTGATAGGCAGTGTGCTGTGTGTATGTGTGTGCGTGCACATGTATGTTCACTCACAAGACAGAGGTCACATCCTTGTCAGCTGCCCTGTTACGAGGGGCAGAGCCAGAGAGGCTCTCCACTCCCTCCCTTCTTTCGCCAGGCCTTGAGAATTCCCAATAGGAATGGATCAAGGCCCCAGGAATGAAGAGCTCCCCCACTCTTACTTGAATGTTAACTCCAAGCACCCAGGAAGCTGGCTGGGAGGACCCTAGGCATGGGAGGCAGCCAAGTCTGAATGCCTACTTGACAGCACGGCTTGACTTTCAGGCTCTCTTTTCGGGTAAGTGATCTTGGGATTATGCTCCTACTCTGAGCCCGTTTTTCTCATCTGTGAATGAGGAGCAATCTCCTAGTCCAGGGCCTGTAGGGTCTGCATTGCTTACAATACACTCTGCACATTTCCTAGCTCCCAGTGGGCTCTAAGAGCCCTGTCAGCGTGACCAAAAGCAAAGACAGTCAGTCACTTCTGTGACACAGTCTGGTTATGCTCTCATTGCCCAGTTAACCTGACACAGGAGGGAGGTTCGTGATGACACGATGACCTCATTGGACATCCTATAGCAGGTTGCCAAGGGCACTCCAGAACTGACCTAGATCGCCAGGGCCTAGTCAGATACACGTACTTTCAAAATGCTCACCAAATGAACAAGAACTGGTTGGACTCACTCACGTCTGCAGATGGTATCCTGCATGCCCCTGTCCTCCTCTCAGAACTGCAAAGGGCTTCCCTGCTCAGGACAGCCGCCTCCAGACTCTGAGTGTGAAAGTTCTAGCTCCACATTGGCTGCTTATTATTTTTTGCTTTCCCACCCCTGTTTCTCCCTGTTCTAAACCTGCACATTTAAATGGAACACTCGTGAAGCAGGGAGACATGGCCTATGATCTTAATCTAAGTTAGTATTATCTTGACAAGCAATCTGAAAAAAAACTACTCCTCCTCCTCCCACTACACACACACACACACACACACACACACACACACACACACACACACA